GAAGACAAAAAAAAGGAAGTATTTTATTATAGGGAGCTTAAGATAAAGAGAGAAGGCAGACTCTTCTATAGCAGCAGGATGGGTCCCAGGAAATAGGGTACCACTGAGCCACTTAGTCTGGGGCTTTTTCTAAGGCTAAGGGGTGGGTTAAAGCATGAGGAGGGGAATGAGCTGTTCAGTCCAGTTGGCCCACCCACAAGGTGTCCAGGTGCCTCCTCAGTTTCACTCAACACCTGCACATATAGCTTCTAGACAAGGGTAAAGAACCAGGAAGCAGGAACCAGAAGGCTCATCTAGCATTCCTGGCCTCCAGCAAGAACATTCTCAGAAGAGATGCTTTGCCCCACCCAGCCAGTTTCTGTCAACTGTTATCATCCCCCTCCCCAGAGTGAACCCTAACTGCTGCTGTTAGGGAATTTGGGCAACTGTCAACCTGACTTCTCTGAGCTAAACGGGTTGTCAGGTGTGGCAGTTGGGGTTCCCCTCCAGTGGGCATGCATTGGAAGTTCCACTTGTGTTAACAGCCAGGTGTAGTGAGGAACCCTTAACCAGTGACAGGATAGGAAGGTGAAGGGGGAACGCAAAGCCAGGGAGAAGGGAAAACCAAGCGCTGGGAACAGAGGAAAGGCTTCCACTTCTTCCATGCCATGGGAGCAGCATGAGTTTATCCAAAAGTTTGCATTGCTAGCTCTAGCAAAGAGCCAGGGCAAGCCAGAAAGGACATTTTCAAACTCATTAGAATCCCTCTACAGGCTTGGAAGAGCATCCGTCATCCCTGTCTGGCTTATCAGACTCTTCATTTTCTTTTTCTCTGGCCTCCAAGGCTTGACCTGAGAATGACACACCAGGATCTGTTTTGCAGGGTGTGATAGCTATTGGAGTATCTAGAATCAGCAGTGCGGGACCTCTCCTAGGTGGGTTTCCCCTTCAATTCCTGCTCAGGAACCATGATGCTGCAGGAGTACTGGCATGTCTTTGAGTTCCATAGAGGCCTTTTCTCTCACTGGGGTGGGCTTAGGTTGTGGGACTCGGGTCCCGGGAAACTCAACAGCTATCAAAACCACCCTGAGACAGTTGCTTTTGAGCTCTGGTCTCTCCATTTGAAGAATAAAAATTCATGGACTGGCCGGGTATGGTGGTGAAGCCCTTTAATGGGCAGGCGGATCTCTGTGAGTTCAAGGCCAGCTGGGGCTACGAAGTGAGTTCCAGGCCAGCTGGGGCTACAGGGAGACCCTGTCTAAAAAAGAAAAAAA